CAAAAGGAGTGACGGACTCCTGATGGAGTATATGGCCCAGGAACCCCCAGCCCATAGACTCCCACTACTGTAGCAAAGGCCCAACAGGCCCAGGAAGCATGGCAGGGCCAAATTACAGCGCCCCAAATGCCAAGCAGCCCACGACGAACACTGGGGAGCCTTCGAAGGGGCCCATAAGCTAACAGTACAGCTTCTTTAAAGCCCTCAAAGTGTCCGGGAGAAAGCGGCGAAAGGTGGAGCCCTCGGTATTAAGAGGCCCCCGGTATGAAGAGCCTTCGACCAATCATCTACGGCCGAAGGCATCTCCTCGACAGAATCTCCCACCCATATGCGCCGGATCAACGTACCAAGTACAAACGTTACATTCAACCACCGCATTTAATGCGGCCACATGCGAGTGCCAGTGCCACCCCGCTGAGGTGACCCCTCGACCACCAGAATGATGACACGTGTCCTATCTGGCATTTATTACTACTATAAATAGCGCCTCTTTCCCCATTTGTAATTCATGTTCAATACGCTCAACACATTCTCAGCAATATATATCATCTCTCTTACTTTTGCTCTGACTTCTCTCTAGTTATTCCCCGCAGTAACCCCTCGGATAGATACCCCCGGGTACACTTATCCATCAATAATATTGATGTCATATAAAAGATAATAAAAAATTGTGAATTTTGATATATTTTTAATAAAAATTGGAATACAAATAAAAAATATACAACACATTAATGATTTTTGGGATTTTAATTTTCATGGCCCCCACACTTCTCGTATGTCATTAGCAAGCACCAACTACCTTCTCCCTCCGTGAATCCTCCGCGAATAATAGCCCTGCTCGGAGGCTATCTAACCATTTTGGCATTCACAAATACTAAGGTTATGTTTGGCAAACATAAGTCTCTACCTTCTAACTTTTTTATTTTTCAAAAAGTATTTAAAAGCTTCTAATTATATGTTTGGCATGACAATTTTTAAGAGCTTTTCAAAAATTAAAAGATCTTTTTTGAGATGCTACAAGGAGTAACATCTGAAAAAAGCTCGTGACTTTTAGTATAAATTAGTCGTAACAGCTTGTATACCAAATCAAACTAAATCAAACAGTCAGCTTTTTACCAAACAGCTACCACCTTTTCTCTTTAAGATCTTTTCAGTCACTAAAAGCTAACAGTTATTAAAAAGCTCACAAATGTATCTTTTCAGCTAGTTGTGCCAAACATACCCTAGGATTGCAGCATTGTAAGACCATTTGGAGTGGTGAGGTATTAGGAGTCCAAATGCATGGCTAAATGTGAAAATTTTGGATTCCTAATTGTGTGTAGTGGTGGCTTAAAAGGGGTATTAAAAGTGGGAAAGTGAATAGAAGGGATTAAATATAGAGGGTGAGTTGAGAGGGGTGGAAAATGGAACAATAAAGAAAAAAGAAGAAAAGGGAGACGCCAATATCCCAATTATGTGTAGTGCTGATGTCATCATTGCATCACAATATCCCAATTTTTTAAAAACTTGTACTCCCTCCGTCCCATATTTATCTTCGTAGTTCGGTTTACGATGCTTGACTAATGATAAAGCAACTTGATCCCTGTTCATACTCATATTATTTTTAGTAAATTAAATTTACATATTCAGAAACTACATTAAATCCGCTACAAAGACTGATCAAGAAAATTTAAGTTTGATAAAAATTTAATATATAAAGTAAAAGTTTAAGATTAATTTGAGTTGACAGTGTGAATAGTAACTATGAAGATAATTTTGGGACGGAGGGAGTATAACTTTTTTATTTGTTCTTCAAAATTTTCAAAATATATAACAAAATTAATAAAATTTTATGATCTTTCGTATGACACCAATATGTAATATATAAAAGGAAATAAAAATTCTTAAGTTTTAACTGTTGAAGTTCTCTTCAGTCTAAAAAACGATGAAACACAATTTTTTTAATTCATGGAGTCTTCACAAATAACTGAATATTTTATAATCGAACTTTACTTGAACTAAGTTCATTTTTTGTTAATCGAAAAACAATAAAAAATTAATGAAATTTATTTATTTTTACATCGAAATGTGTATTTTTTTATTTCATAATTATTCAGGGAAAAAATTAAAGAAAAACAGTGCTTATAATAATTTAATTAATGTTTTATTAAATTGATATGTAAAAGAATGTGCATAGTGTATTTTATTGACGGTGCTGAAATGCAGAGAAATAGGAATCAAAACACTATTTTCATATGAACGGAGTTCATTTTTGACCTTTAGACTCTAGAACCACTCCAATTGATCTAAGGGGTGAAAAATTCTAAATTGGGTTTTCATGCTTGGGGTTGCGGACAGCCTAAGAGAAAAGTAGTAAGAGGAATCGTGGACAGAAGGTGATGGACAAGAATGAGTAGCCAAGATTATTAATTGTTTTCACGTGAGGATCCAGGCCAATGATTGCTTTTTTGGTTGAAAGATTGTTTTTTGTTACACCACTCCATCATGGTTTGCCTAACTAATTTAAAGGATTTTTCACCAACACACCCACCTTAAATTGATTCTTAACTGCATCTCCAATGCTCTTAGTGCATTGGAGATGAAATGGCATAAATTTTGTTTAGGTCTATTTAGAAAAGTGGGTCCAAAATTTTAAAAAAGAGATGACAAACACTCTCCAATGCGGAACATTTAAAGCAAATAAAAAAGCAAAAGAAAAAAATGCAAAACAAAGAGTAAAGTAAAGGAGAGGCTTTCCATGCATAAAGGCCCACATTTTCTCCTTTGGTTTTGTCATGGTGGCACCTTCAGTCCATACATGGACCTTGACACCTTGTGCTAGACCACAGTCCATTTTATTGAATGCAACATCAGCTACACCAAATCTATTCTATTTTGCATTGGAGCATACATTTTCATTCAATAAATGCATTTGCTGAGGTGGAACTACGATCCACCCTAGGATCGGAGATGCTCCAAGAATTGCTCAATTATTATATTCTTATATTCTCTAGCCGCCTATGCTAGAATCATAAACAGAGAGCCTCCCCACCGGTGGGCGTAGCTCAACTAGTAGTGAGGGACCGCCATAAGAGTTAGCTCCCGGGTTCGAATTCCGGCAAATGCGATGAGAGGTTACTATGCTAAAAAATGCATAGGGCCTCTACAAGTACCGGGGACAGAGCCCCAACCTCTATCTGTCAGATATTGATTATAGTCCAATTTACATCCTTCCAACATACCGTCCGGTCGGTGTTGAGGGGCCCTCAGGGATGGGGTGTCATCCTTTTTTAATAGACAGAGAGCCTCCCTAACTCACTATTTCTAAATAGAATCGCTGTTGTTTCACATGTGATTCGCTAAGCTAAACACTGAGCGACAGAAGTCAATGGTTGATAAAAGTTCTTTAGTTTCTTTGATTTGCAAAAATTTCTATGTTTGTTGTCCTAAAATGGTTTTTCACTTTCTATTTTAGGTATGTAAATAAGAATAAATTGACAAATTTACCTTTGCTTTTTTTTTCCATTAACTTAATGTCATAAACTTTTTGGAAGATGAGCAAAATTATAAAAAGCAAGTATCATTTATTGTCATTTCTTAATTCTTGTGTCAGCTAAACTTTGCAAAATAAATTGGGACGAAGGTAGTACATACTAACCTATGTGCCAAATTGAAATTAAGCGCTTGTTTTCTTTTACTCCACTGTCTCACAATTAAAATCTCAGTTTAACTTTACGACCTTCTAAGCACATTAGGCATTGCAAATGCTTCAAAAACCACTATCAAGCTAACCGTTACGGATAGCCCTAAGTAGCTTCTATCTACTTCTAGGTTATTTTGTAAATATTTTTTTAACCTATTTGTGTATATAGCCCTTACAAACATCAAATCAAAGCAATTTCGGTCGTGATTGGGGATTCGAAGCATTTTATCTGTGAAGCAATTTCGTGATTTGGAGTTGTTTGGACTATCAAGAATTAATCTTATGGGTTGTAGATATTATTTCCTAATTGGTTTTCTTTCCTTTCTGGGCTTATTGTTTATATAGTTACAAGCCCATTTGTATTAAGTATAAATTAGACTGAATCTTTGGAAATTAGGCATCTGAACATTTGCCTTCTTTCTTCTTCCGCAAAACCTACTCTGAATATAGAATTCTTCTTCTTGTTTGATTCTTGAGTTCAAACTTTCACATGGTATCAGACTAGGCTTCTGATCTTTCTTCACTAGTCTTTTCCCGATTGATTCATTTGTTATCAAACCCTATTTTTTTGCGATGAATTCATCGATTTGTTTTCCTATGCATCCAACTGAGGATCCTTCTTCACCGTACTACCTAAACCCAAGTGATCATGCCGGTCTACGCATCATATATGAGACGTTAACTGGAGACAACTTCAATGCTTGGAAAAAGTCGGTGACTATGGCGTTCATTGTGAAAAACAAAATGGCCTTTCAGGATGGCTCTATCAAGCAACCAAGTCCAGAAGAATCTTCCACATATGTTGTTTGGTATCGTATAAATGCTTTACTTCTATCTTGGCTGATATATTCTATAGCCCCTGAAATTCGTTCTACTTTTTTGTATTTCACTTCCGCTAAAGATCTTTGGGATGAAATACAACTTAGATATGAAAAAAGTGATGGTCCTAGAGTCTTTTATCTTGAAAAACCCCTAGGCAACATATCTCAGGGAACTCAAAATGTTACTACTTATTACAATACTTTCAAAGGACTTTGGGATGAATATGTTGATTTCAAAGCTCTTCCACCTTGTTCTTGTGGTCTCTGTACTTGTAAAATTCACAAAAAATATCAACAATTACTTGACAAAGAATCTGTTCAAAAGTTTCTTGTTGGATTAAATGATTCTTATTCTAATCTGAGAAGTCAAATTCTTCTTCAGACTCCTTTTCCTAGTCTTTCTGCTGTCTACTCTTTCTTTCTTCAAGAAGAGTCTCAAAGAATTCTTCAAAACCCTGTTCATTATGTTCCTTTTCTTTCTGATAATACTATCAATTCTGATTCTTCCAATGTTGACTCTACTGCCTTCTTGGTTAAAAATTCTGCCTACAAAACGAAATCCTCTCTTATTTGTTCCCACTATGGATACACTGGTCATTCTGCTAATAAATGTTTCCAAGTGATTGGGTATCCTCCTACTTGGAAAGGACTTAAAGGACTGAGAACTGCTCTTGGCTTCAAAGTGCCAACTACATCTACCAAGAACACTCATGCCAATCTAGCCAACATCTCTACTGAGTCTTCTTCTTCTGAGATGGATCTTTGTGATCCCCCCTATACAATAAATTCTTGGAGTTTATGAAAACTCAGAATGATCCATCTGCTACTGCTCATGTTGCCATGGCCATTCCTATTCATGAACAATCTCCTGGTATCAGTGATACCTCTATGATAGGTAATCATTCTGTTTTTTTATCCAGTATCAAATCCTCTATCTAGATTATTGACATCGGTGCTTCTGATCATATGACTCATAATTTTAGTTTGTTTACTTCATCTCCCAAATCTATTTCTATAAATGTTCAATTACCTACTGGTTCTTTTATAACTGCCACTCATATTGGTGACATTAAACTCAATTCTACTCTTACTCTTCATAATGTCTTATATGTTCCTCAATTTAGTTTTAATCTTATCTCTATTTCTAGATTAGTATTACATGAAAATATATCTGTTCATTTTTCTTCTAATCATGCTACTTTGTAGGATCTACTCACCAACCAAATGATTGGTTATGCTGATCTCCAAAATGGTCTTTACCTCTACAATCCTGTTAATTCTTCTCTTTCCAACAAACAATCTTCTGTTGTCAATACTGCCAATACTAAATGTTTAGATCACAAATATGATGTTTGGCACTATAGATTTGGTCATTTACCTTTTAACAAACTGAAATTTCTTGTTCATTGTAATGTTGCACATCATATGAATAAAACTACTTCTTATGACACTTGTCACTTTGCTAAACAGAAACGCTTACCCTTTTCGGATAGTATTTCTCATGCTCCTAATGCTGTTGATCTTGTTCATATGGATGTTTGGGGCCCTTTTAAACTTCAATCTTATTCTGATTTTAAATATCTTTTAACTGTTGTTGATGATTACACTAGATGTACTTGGGTTTTTCTCATGAAAACCAAATGTGAAGTAAAATTTCATATGATGACTTTCTATAATCTCATATATACTCAATTTCATGTAAAAATTAAGGTAATTAGAATTGATAATGGTACTGAATTTATATTTCCTTCTTTTTATACCTCAAATGGTATTATTCATCAACTTTCATGTGTTGAAACTCCTCAACAAAATGCTAGGGTTGAAAGGAAACATCAACACATTCTTCAATTTGCTAGATCTCTTCTTTTTCAATCTTGTTTACCTCTTATGTTTTGGACTGATTGCATTCTTACTGTTGTACACATTATTAATAGAATTCCTACTGCAATTCTTAATAATAAGTCTCCTTATGAGCTATTATACAACAAACAGTAGTAGAAAAAGGCCTTGTAGTGACACTAATTTAGTGTCAGTGAAAGTTTCTATGACACTAAAAAAGCGTCGGCGAAAGTGGCGGCTAGTGACACTAAATATAGTGTCACTAATTGTAAAACAAAATAGTGTCAGTAAATTATGACACATTAATGTGATGCAACATTATCACACATTGATATCATAAAACGTTGTGATACCTTGGTATCATAAAAATTTACGACACAATGGTGTCATATTAATACAAAATATTATTATTATAATCATTGTGTTATTTTGTTCTAGTTTTATTATAGATTATATAAATATTAATAAATAGCCAAAACAAAAGAACAATTTGTATTTATTACTCAAATTATTTTACAATGTCAATATCAATAAAGTACTACACAAGTAGTGTATTACAAGATGCTATAAATCTACACTCTAATCATACAACATTTTTATATGCTACACGCTAGACATCATAATTCCTTGCATTGTCATCGCAATCCAATAAAACAAGTCTTCAGAGTACTTCTCAATATCTCGTTCAACATAGCCTGCATCATTTTTTAACTTTGCAATATTATAAGTAGCAAAAATTAATAAAATAAAGCCACCACTAATACTTTATAGCAACAATTTGGTTTGAATACTCTACCCAAGCTGTTATTTTTGGACTTGAGCTGTTCAACAAAAACTCTTTGGCTAAAAACCAAATCACTAATCAGATATGTCATTGTGTGTAATCTTGAAGTCTTTCAATAGGTGAAAAATACAAAGGTGTGTAATCTTGAAGTCTTTCAATAAATCATTAAATAAATGCAAGAGTTGTGACACTAAAATTGGGAGTACAATGGATAGAGATGGAGGTGAGATGGAGGTGATAGCGCTCCCAAAATGTCAAATGAATGAAAATTACAGAAGAAATACACTTAATTTATAGTCATAGACTACCAAAATGTGGGCTCACTCATCAACCAGATAGACTCTCAGCAATCTGGGAAATGGCTGAATATGTTCCAAAGGCTGATGATATCACACCTACTCCCATAACTAGTACACAAGCTAATGCCTGCAAAACAATTTTTCTTTTTTTAATCCACAGAGAACACAACAAGTTGTAGGCTTGTAGCCAGAAGAAAATGCCTAAGAGCCTGTTTGGTAGTGTAAAAATTGGGTAGGAAACTGAGTAGATTATTTAACCATGTATCATAAATATATTTTTAGCATATTAAATGGAATAGAACAATAACTAAAATATGAGCAGGAGCCTGAAGAGTAAAATCCAAATATGTATATACCTGGATGTAGCTTAATTTCCCCCTCAATATACTAAGATAACATGCGCAAGGAAGTATCAATGTGTGAAGAGAAAAAAAATTGATTAACTATATTTTCACATAATGATTGGATAGTAAAACATCACAATAAGTCTATAGCAAGTGAAAAGGATATAGGTGTTATAAACATTTGATACATCACTAGTAACAAAAGGGGAAGCTATTGAAACATCAAGGGGGGAGGGGGGGGGGGGGGCTTCACATACCACTGTGGCATCAAAAGCAACAAAAAGGAGACTTTCAAAATCTGTTAAGACAGTTTCCAGGGCAATAGTAGGGCGTGTTCAATACCAGCAACTTTCAAGACAGTGGACTGATAAAAGGCATGTTCACAAGCCTGAACAAGAGGTTTCTCAGAAGGCAACGAATGGGGGGTCAATACAGGCAGCCGAGTGGGCTTGTTTTTCTTTTTCTCTATCTCACTGGAAATTCATTCAAATAAAAATTAGTTGTGATGGAAAGAAATTTGAACCATGTGTAAACTAATGCTACCGCTTCATCATACTTAAAGGCGTCTCAAAAGCAGATAAAGATTTGAATCCTATTATGAGCACAATGACCGTTCATCAATTATATATTCTATTATCTAGGCTATCACGCAAATTTAATAGAAAGTGGGAAGGGTATACTCACACTTCATTTAATTGTCTTTTCACCGTGGCTTGGATGGAAAGGCAATCCAGCCAATCAACTCGTTGAATCTACCCATGCTCATACTTATTCATACGCTCTTCCAAGCGCTCATTTCCCCGCGTTCCTTCTTAGGATCATGCTGGAGTCAAGTTATGGTTATACATTAAGTCAATATAACAGTCAAGAAAGTTCATCAATTTATGGGAAAAAACTGCAATATAGATGTATAGTAGCCCACGAGTAACTCCTTCACTCTTTTCACATGAAACATCCTGAACCTGCAATATAAGAGTATGAGTTCATTATAAATAACTAAGCAAAAGTTGATAGAACTGTCATCTTATCGTACATGATAACTAAACAAAAGATTGCTACAACTACAGGTTCGTTGATATATAACTTGCTGAAGAATTTCTAAACAATACTTCTGAACACTTGCATTCTAAAGAGGAAGTATCTATTAATATTTGTATAGAGCCATAGGCTATATAAAGTATTATGTTTCGCCACACCCTCTTAATCCTTGAAGTGAATAAACTTATTATGACACTTTAGACTACTTTGGGTAGGATAGCTTATAAATTAAAAACAGCAGCTTGTCATCCCAGGATGTTTTTACAATGAGAAATGCAGACAGAAGGAATTAACCATAGAGGTATTTAAACAAACAGTTTCAGTGCAAGAGGAAAGCTCTCTGGTGCATATATAAAATGGGACAACTACTGAATCAACGACACTCTACATTATAACAACACATATGAAGCTATATATAATGCGATATAGGCAGAGAACTCAACTATTTTTCTGCCACTACTCAACAACTTACTAAAAATATGGAAATGCGCGCCTAAATAATAGGTAATCTAAAAACTAAAAAGTTTATTTGCTGAAACATTTAAATATTCTCATTAACATTCACTTTACATTATTACTGAATGTGTGCCGACTTGGAACATCATAAACATTGACATTAACAAAAGAGCCCCTGATTTTGCAGGGTATATAACTCCTAATTCCTAAATCTATCTTGCTCTGCTGTGTTTCAAATATGCGATCTTAGGCTACATGATGGAGAAAGAGTACTTGTTCATTTTTACTGAGGCATTTTTACAAACAGTTAGTCGACATTATATTAGAAAAATAAGAACTAATAATAGACATTTCCATTTTCTATCAAACTAAAAGAAATTAAATAACCCAACAAATACAAAAAATTAGAGAATAAGTATATAATATGTAAAAACCATTTTTACAAAAGAATTAAGTTCAGAATTTCAGTTGAGATGGTCGAGAGATGCGATTTTCAATTTTTAAGAAGGTAGCGATATAGATGTTAAGCTAGAGATCGAATACCTACAGGCTAGTGTCTCCATTCATAGACCGAAAATCCAAAGGAGAAAAGAGGACTCACCAGTCACCAACTCGATCCGTCAATCAGCGAGGGCAGGGGCGAGCTCAAGAAGAACCGAGGTCCTAGGGAGTGTCGGCGAAGGGGGAACGACATCCAGTCGTCCAGGCGGACCAGTTGTGTGACCGGTGAATGGCGATGAGCCCATCCGTCTAGGCGACTCAGCGGGCAAGGTCACAATGGAGGAGAGCTTGTGTGGTGAAGTGAACGAGAGATGCAAAGGTTTACATGTATATATGTATAAGTGTTTTTTGAAATTTTAAAAAATATAAAAATTAATTAAAATCTGTGTTGGAGTGTCACTTGTATGAGTTGATGTAATAGTGTCACAAATCACTGAAATAGAAGTGTCATAAAGGTCTTTATGTCATTATAGTGTCACATGCAAAGTGTCACTGTAAGGCCTTTTTTTAGTAGTGAAACCACCTGATTATTCTCATTTAAGAGTTTTTGGTTGCCTTGCTTATGCTTCCACCTTAACTGCCAATAGATCAAAATTTGATACAAGAGCTGTAAAATGTGTTTTTATTGGTAATCCTTTAGGATCTAAAGGCTATAAACTATATGATATTAATAATCACAAATTTTTCATTTCAAGAAATGTCAAATTTTATGAAATGGTCTTTCCTTATAAAAATAATACTATTTCTTCTAATACTAACCATACCGATTCTACTAATAATATTCATAATGATCCTTGTAATAATGATATTTCTTATAAGTATAACATTCCTTCTACCTATCCTCAAAATTATTT